ACTTTATTTATAAAGTAAGTATATTTTCAAAGAGGGTAACCAAAGGTTATGGCCTATAATCTAATATCACTCTATTTGAGGGTCTTAGAAATTGAAACATTGATTATACTTAGTATAGTTGTCATTGTACTTGTCAAATGCTTCCAAGTACTGACCTCCCCTTCACGGGGGAGGCCACCTCACAGTTTCAGGTAGAACTTGAAGGTTGCTACCATTGCCCGTTGCTCGGGAAGATCCAAGGAGAGGAGACGTGGTTCGTGCTTCCTCTGTATCTGTTTTAAAAACAATTATATTTAATGCTCATGGATATTATTTTGAATAATTATTTGGGGGCTTATATGCCCATGTTTGCCAAAGTGTGGCATAAACACTTGCACTAAATGTTTCCGCTGCTTTAAATGAATATTTTACATTATGTTTGTTTATGGATGCACTATGTGTGAATGGTATTCAAGACGCCTAGTATAGTATGGGTGAGTTGGACTGCGGTTGACTATTCGTACTGTACGGCGGGTTGTTGACGTGTCCGGTAGGTCCGGATCGTGACACTCTACGCCGCGAGAGCGGTAAGAACTTAGTAATGATTAGCTAGGCTCAATTGAATTAATTTCATGTAATTAGGCCTGATCTGCCAGAAATCTGGTTACCCCGGAATCAATCCCTGTTCCCTTCGTCATTAATTAGAGAGAGCCCACCTTACAAGAAAATTGACCTTTTGCGACTAACAATTTGCGACTGACCCTGAATATGGTCGCAATATGTATATTAATTGCGACCGCTCTTTTGTGTGGTCACAGATATATAGAAAATGGTTTTGTTTTTGCGACCGTACTTATATCCCTTCCCTATCCCCTTAAATTCTGGTCGCTAAAACTTCATTATTGGCGCTGCTTCTAAAAACATCCCGCGCCCCACTACTACATCATTAGACTTTTATATTTTTGTTTTGCCGCTGCTCCAAAACTAATTCGCGCCGAGCTAACCCTCACTTCTTTTATTTTTATTTTTAATAATATACGTTTCTAAACACTAAGGGCCTGTTTGGATGGAGTGTTTGGAGGTGTTAGTAATGGAAGTGTTAGTAAGTGTTAGTAAGGGCTCGGAAGGGAAGAGAAGTGTAAGTGTTATACATAATTTTACCTTGTTTGGGAGAGTCAAATGAATGAAGTGTTAATAATGGAAGTGTTAAAGAAAGAGTAAAGAAAGAGTAAAGAGAAGAGATGAAAAAACAAACCATCAGACCCGTGGGAAAGACATTCGAAGTGAAATGTCGAAGCATTTTATGTTTTTCGGGCAAATGAGAAGGGTAATAATTGTCCAACACCTCAAAACACTCCAAATCGGGGTGTTAAAAAAATGGACAATTGAGGTGTTGGGAAAGTTATTATTAACACTTCCTAACCATTACTAACACTTCTTAACACCTCTGGTTTTTTCTCCCAAACAAGTGTTAGCATCAACACTTACTAACACTTCCATTACTAACACTCCTTAACACTCAATCCAAACAGGCCGTAACCCTCCGTACAGCAGCCCTACAAAGTAAAAACCCTCCCTCTTAACCAGCAGCGCCGCGCCGATCGTCTTCTCGCCGGTACGCCTACTTCGAACTCTATCCTGATAGAAGAAACATCGCAGTGCCGCTCTCTAGTCTTCTTCACTCCGTACTCCTGCTACAAGTCCTATCCCTCCTCTGATCCGATAGAAACATTGCAGTGCCACACAGTAACCATCTTCTCGCCGCGCAAAAGTTGTCCGACGAATTCCATCTCCTCGCCGTACACCTGCTACTAATGGCAGAGCTTAAGTTGTCCTGTTGTTCCATCTTCTCGCCGTTCGCTTACGAGTTACGACTTCTAGTCCCAGAGCTTAAGTTGTCCGACGAATTGGCCGCACAAAGTTATCAGCTAGGTTATTTTTCACTTCATTCCATAGGCATGATATGTGGAAGATACCTCTAATTTAGCTTATTCTTGTAATAAATTGTCTAAATTTAACCTTAACCTAATAGGGATTTATTCCCAGCACTCTGCCTAAATACTCATTTGTTGACTCTTCGATATCTCATTATTTAATTTTAATGTATGTAAGTAATAACTTAATTTAATCGTACTTTACTAGTAAATAAACTACATTGTTCATCAGTTTTATATATATAGATGATTGGTTATCTGACTAAATACTAAACTTCCCAAATGTTCCTACAGCTACACATGTAGTTTATTTATCCCTATGTTGCAGCCTCAGGAGGAAGGTAAGATAGCAGTAGCAAATAGATGTTCAGGGACATCACTTTGGCCTGCTGCAAGTGATTCTGTTCTTGAGGTTCACTCTTCAATTTAATTTAGTTCTTAAGGAGACTTCATAACTTCATATTCACGTTCTTGCTTTGTGCACAAGTGGTACTTTTATCTTTCCAATACAGACCTTCAATATTCTGATTCACTGTTATTTTCCGCTGTTTTAAGTGCTGCTTTGTATCTTGTGGAAAAGGTTCAGAGGATTACATTATTGCCTCTTGCTAGTAGCTAGATTCTATGGAGTTTGATTTAATTAACTTGATTTTTTTAACTTGAAACAAGAGTTGCAGCATAAGTTTTATTTATTATGGAGTATTAATAGCAAGTGGAAATGTGATTTTATAATCCTGAAAGTGATATGTTTTTTACTTATTATTTGCATGTGGTTTCAATGCAGAAACAAATTTGATAGTGATATTTTTTGTACTTATTATTCTCCCGAATTGCAGCGGCATCAAGTCAGGCGATCCCTGTATAGCTTTCATTCATCCATCTCCTTATGATGATAGGACTAGAACCCTTCAGCTCAGATCAGGTAATTTATTTGGTTATGGATAATAATAATTAATACGTAGTAATGATGAAGTTTAAATAGTATTATGGTGGTAAATGTGTAGACTCTACGAGATCAGTGAGCTTTGCTATGATCTTCTTGTTTTAATTTTAAGTGAATATTGGCAAATGGCATGCTATGTGGAAGAATTCTGCATGATTTGTGCTCTAAAAGAGCTTATCGAAAACTTATCTGCTTCCAATAGTAGTGTAGTCTCTACTTGGAAACTTGTCAACAACATAAACTGTATCCTTTTGAACATTTTTGGCATCACGGTAGTCTACTTGTTTTATGGAAAGAATCCAATAACGAAGGTTGTGACTGCAGCCACTATTTAAAGGATCACATGCCAGAAGTTCGTATTGTTTTAACCCTATCATTGGTCTTTATATACTTATGAAATAGCTGGTTCCTTTCATTACGGTGTGTTTGTAGAGGACGAAAACTTTTGGTAATTCTTTTGATTTGTCTTAATATTCTTGGCTTTGTTGCTAATGTAGTGCTCAAGTAATATTTAAATGTTGACAGTGGCTTTGATTTTCTATTAATTTATACTTATTAGGAGTATTTCCCAAATTTGCCAGGTGCAAGCTGTCACAATTCATATTATTTGAGAAGCGCAAGAGTTACATGAGTGTAGATTTTTGCTGAAATGAAAAATGATGCTTCTGGTGTACCCCTTAATGAAGAACTTGAGTGTTTCCTATTGATTATGAGGTACTGTTATTTATTCATGTTCATTATAGCTTTCTTTGTGCGATTAATTGGCAGTTTTGGTACCCAAGGTTTTCTGCTTTGGGTTTTCTTTTGGAAGCTGTAAATTGAAAACTGAACCCAATTACCTAAGTGGGATTTAGTTGAGACAGTTTGTGTTGGTTTATGCATGTTTGGTCAGTCTTAAAGCATGTATCTTAAACTGTAAATCGAAGTGCGTAAGGTTTTGGTTAGTTCGGTTTCAATTTGCCAGTTTATTTGTTCAGCTTTTGTGTGTATACATACTGATCTGATAAGCTTTGAATACAATTTCAGAACATAAACCAGGAGAGGATGTTCTAGAATGGCCTACAAGGAAGGGATTTGGGCACTAATCTTATATACATATCTACATGAAGGATACATGAAGGGGGGCGTCTTCTAAAAAGAGCGAACTTGAAGCCAAGTTGCAATAGAAGATGATCCAGATTAAAGAGATGCAATGAGGTCTAGGAAACAAAGAACAAAATCAATAGCTTGGAATTTGCCGTGGCATGCATGGTTCAAACATGTCATATTTTTTTGTATATATGTTTTGAGATAGGTTTTGTAGCTTAGAGCCGTAGATGATTGATGTCGGAATATCAAATCGATGATTGATTAATTTAATGTTTATTTATCAGTTTTGTATTATATGTTTGGATCTTTGAAAAAATTAATTAATATATTATGAGCCCGTTTGGTAGCACCAAAATTGGCTGTTTTGGCTGATTCTGCTGAAATTTATGATATTTTGGCTGAAGTGGCTGTTTTGGCTGATTCTGCTGATTTAAGAAAAAAATATTTTAAAAATATATTTTATTAATAAAATAAAGAAAAAATTATATGTAAAAATAGCTAAAATGGTCATCTACAGTAACTTCAGCCAATACAGCCAGAAAAGTAACTCCAACCTTACTTTTTCGGCTTATTACACAATTCAGCGCGCGAAAGTAAAAGTTACGTGTTTGGTGAAAAAGCTGGCTGATAAGCCTGATAAGCCGAAAACAGAGGTCTCCAAACGGGCTCTATGTTTTCATCGATTACCATAAGAATAATAAAAAGTGTATTCATTTATAATACGAAGGGAAAATGGTTGTAAATATAATGTTTAGCGAAGGGAAAGTGGTTGCAATTACTCATGCTATGTTGTCTCAAATAATATCATTAGCGACCGGATTATAAGTGGTCTCAAAAAGTTTTAGGGACCGACCTATTTTTGTAGTCGCAAAATGTCTTTTGCGGCAAGGCCAATAGGGACGGCACCGCGACCACTTTTTTTGGTCGCAATTACTTATTTGCGACTGTTTATTAGGTTTTTGCGACCACTTTTCCCTTCGCAAATGAGCCTTTTTCTTGTAGTGCCACTTATTTTAATCGTTTTGTTGCATTTTAATTTTTCATACCAATCATATCTCGCACGACGCATTTATTTTATTTATTTCTTTTAATCGCTGAATTTAATTAATTCTTGATTCCCTTTTGTCCGTCCCTGTGGAGACGATACCCGTACTTACACCACTATATTACGATCTATTTTACGTGCGAGAAAACACACATCATGGGACAAATACTTCAACACGCCCCCTTAGTTCGCACCGGGCTGGACAATATTGGGGTGTATAAATGGGCCAAACAGGCCCTTAACAAGCTACTCGTAATCATGGATGCTAAACAAGCAGTCAAACCACAACCGGAATTGGCTCTAATACCATGTTAAGACCTGGGGTTCCATCCTAAAAGATCAACCTGATTGGAGGAGTATCCCAAAGCCTTATATAGTGTGTTGGGATATATTATCCCGGCCTATTACTGTTCAGGAGTCCAAGACATCACTCAGTACGGAACCCGAGCAGCTAGGTCCATTTCGGTCCATTCTGGCCCACTTTAGCCATTTGGGCCCATTCCGGCCCATGCGGCCCATTAGGGTGGATATTTTCCCATCCCTTTTCCCTATAAATAAGGAGCTTAGCCTCCATTGTAGGGATCCCTTCTTTAGCTTCTTCTTCCTTATTTCTCTCTAGCTAGCTCAATACTCCATAAATGGAGCTCAAATTGTACTATGTAATGGTGAGGAGAGATTAATGAGAATGAGAGGGCTTGGACATTAGCCTAAAAAGTCCCGTGGTTTTCTCCCTTTCGGGTTTCCACGTAAAAACTGAGTGTTCATACATATATTTACTATATCGTGTTGGATTAAACTCAACACTGGCGCCGTCTGTGGGAATCTGTCCAAAAAGATTCACGTTGTTCTTCAGTTTCTACAACAAAATTCATTCGAAAATGGACTGATTTTAGCAAAGGAAGAAGAAGTTCTGAAATTTTGGTCTGGGGAAGCTCTAGCAGCACCTGCCCAACTGACCGAGGAGGAAGGGAGAAAGAAAGAAGAAAAATTTTGGGAGGCAAAGGAGCTACGAAATCTCGGAATCCACATATGGATTTTCTCAGATCTTGTTTGGGGCTGCCGGATCCACCGTACCCGCCGCCGTGAAATCCCCGGTGGATTTACCCACACCAGACGAAGCTCGCGGCAGCACCCCAGGTCGGGTCATCCTCGCCTCTAGGGAAGCTCCGTCTGCAAACGGGCGCTCATCGCTGGCAGCTGGTTCTACGACCTGAATCGCCACCTACGCCGCTCGTTTTCGCCGTCCCACCAAGAGGCCTTAACAAATTTCAGCCTGTCTTGCTCCAGAGGACTGGCCTCGCCGGGGACCCTTTGCTCCGCTGCAGTTTACTTCCGTCCCTAAGCGGATGTATTGCCTGTTGGGGTTGGGGAGGGGTTGTTTCCATCTGCCTCTTGGAAAGATTCTTTTTGTTTGGTTGAGAGTCAACCACATCCGAAGGACCCAAATGAGATTGCAGTAAAATTGGGTGGAGCACCTTGCATGACTTCGGAAGTCAACGGTTGATGATGACTTGTGCCAGCTGCTATAACTTTGGCCAAGCTGCTCGAGGAGCAAGGCTCCAATTCGTAGATGAGCCAATTATTTCACCCATCTCAAAAGAGCTAAGTTATCATACGTACCCCTCTTTTATTATCTAAGTATTAATAATGAAGCTTGATTACTATTGCTAGTTTTTATCACCATTATTTAATAGGGGGCAAGTATCCCGAAATTAAATAATGTCGAGTAAAGCTCAGATGAGAAAAACTCTAGTGATAATCATTTTCACCGTCATTTTAATAAATGACTGGGTGTTGTGGGCCCGTCGGCCCGCTCCTGATCGGCTTTAATTAGCGAGCGGAGTATACTTGAATGGCCTTTGATAGGGAAATATCAGTGCTATTGCCTGTTACATCACTACTATTTATTAGGGATAAAATGTCCCGAATTAAATAATGTGGAGCGAAGCTCTAGTGATGGTTGGTTCAGCCAACATTTTATTGGATATTTAATTTCTTATGGGCCCGTTAGCCCACTCTCGATCAGCTTGATTAAGCGATCCGAGCGTCTCCAGTAGGGCGATGCCCCGACGACGCATTTTAATTTGAGGGTTGCACGTTAGTCCGCACGGCACTACGTGCCCGATCGACGATCGTACCCCAATATCATCTACGCCATTAGGCGCGAAGTGACTTTTGCCAGACGCGGCCTGTGGGGCCCCGAGGGCACCAAAGCGCTCGGCCTCGTGTTTCCGAGGGCGGTGCGACCAACTTGGGTCTGAGTTTGAAAACTCACGGACCGATGAATATCTCTATGTGACGTTCGGCGGGCTGCCAATTGGCCCCGCCGTGAGCTGCTGCATCCATCAGTCCCGCACGATGAGCCGGGCCAAGGGTCACGATGACCCATAGGCCGGTATTCGTGGATGTTAGAGAGAAAGCCATACGACTGGCTATGTATATATACTGTCGGGCCGTGCGGCCCGTTATCATGCTTATTGCGCAGCTGAAGCCACTCGACGCGCTCGAGCGAAATGATTAAAAGACGCTCGGTCCGAATCTTGAAGACGTTCAGGGCCAGCTAAAGAGGAGACCACCACGGTTGAGAACCGTGGGACGAGCATCTCCACCCCAGAGACCGATGGCCTAGGGAGAACACCTAGAGGCCGAGGGTCTAGAGGCGAATGCCATGACAGAGAACCGTGAGACGATCACCCGTCATTCAGAGGCCGAGGGCCTAGAAGAGATCGTCACGGCCGAGGGCCGTCTGACGCCATCATTACATCATGACCGGCCTCTCGGCACGGCGTGTTTATCTTTTGAAGACCGGCCTCGTCCCCGCGCTGCGTGGATGAGGACCGTTGCTTGATTTTAGGTCGGCCTCTCATTGTCGACATCATTATATCACGACCAGCCTCTCGGCACGGCGTGTTTATCTTTTGAAGACCGGCCTCGTCCCCGCGCTGCGCGGATGAGGACCGTTGCTTGATTTTAGGTCGGCCTCTCATTGCCGACATCATTACATCATGACCGGCCTCTCGGCTCGGCGTGTTTATCTTTTGAAGACCGGCCTCATCCCCACGCTGCGTGGATGAGAGTCGTTGCTGGATATATCGGCCTGATCGGACACTATTGCCGTCTCCATTATCAGGACCGACTGCTCAGCGACATTATGATCATTGTATATCGGCTCCCAATGCCGACCTTCTTGAGTTACCGATTGGGCTCACCCCTCCCTTCAGAAGGGTGACCATCGCCTTCGCATGACGACCAGCGTCTCCATCGCCTCGTCATTATATTCGTTAGCTATGCCACCACCATTATGTGTGACATCCCGTGATCCCTGCGAGTTTCTTGGATACCGAATGTCTTCTTCGATGTAGGAAGATCAGTAGGACCACGGACCAGGGACGGACAAAGAAGAGCTAGGGAATCTCGATGTAGATAAACCTGTTCCTCCTTGCGAGTTTCGCGGATACCGAACGTCTCTTCGAAGCAGGAGCGCCGGTAGGACCAAGAACCAAGGACGAACGAAGAATATAGATTGCCTCCCTCAAACAAAAAAAAAAAGATGGGGAGAAGAGGAGGGTAGCTCCTATGTGGAAGGGAATCTTGCCCGGGCGTGCCAGATCTTCTCCCACCGCCGAAGACGAACGCCTCTCGATGTAGAGGTCACTAGAGACGCGGAGGGGGCTAGACGAACCAAGGGAGCTTTGCCAAGATAAACCTGTTTATCCCACAACGACCATGGATCGATGGACGTGGGATAACAAAGCCGGGAACCCGTGAGGGTAAACCAGTTCGTCCCTGCGAGTTCCTTGGGTACCGAACGTCTTCTTTGAAGCAAGAGACGCCGGTAAGACTAAAAGGACCACGGACGAACAAAAAAAGGGGGAATCTCGATGTAGATAAACCTGTTCCTCCTTGCGAGTTTCGAGGATACCGGACGTCTCTTCGAAGTAAGGACGCTGGTAGGACCAAGAACCAAGGACGAACGAAGACTAAAAGACTCCAAAAAAAAAAAAAAAAAGATGCCAGAAGAGCACAGAGCAAAGAATGATTTTATCCCTCGGCGCTATTGGCCGGGAAATACAAACTGGAAAACATATGTAAAGAATAATTACAAAACTTAAGTACGAAGAATGAAGTGGCCGACGACGATCGGCTAACATCAGGTTTTCTTTTGCCTCGAACGACGATTAGCTCCCCAGATCAGACGGAGGGACGACGCCCAGGTCCACCCTTCCTCCCAGGATGAAGTCCTGGCAGACGATCGGCTTCTCAGCGCCATCGTGTCTCTTTCACGTTCGGATCGCCCCATTCCCTCCAGGATGGCGACGAACGTCTTATGCAGTGCGATCGGCCCCTCAGCGCCATCGTACTAGATCTCACGGTTCGGCTCGCCCATTCCCTCCAGGATGGCGACGACCGTCTTATGCAGCACGATCGGCTTCTCAGCGCCATCGTGTCTCTTTCACGTTCGGATCGCCCCATTCCCTCCAGGATGGCGACGAACGTCTTATGCAGTGCGATCGGCCCCTCAGCGCCATCGTACCTGATTTCACGGTTCGGCTCGCCCATTCCTTCCAGGATGGCGACGACCGTCTTATACAGCACGATCGGCTTCTCAGCGCCATCGTGTCTCTTTCACGTTCGGATCGCCCCATTCCCTCCAGGATGGCGACGAACGTCTTATGCAGTGCGATCGGCCCCTTAGCGCCATCGTACCTGGCTTCACGGTTCGGCTCGCCCATTCCCTCCAGGATGGCGACGACCGTCTTATGCGGCACGATCGGCTTCTCAGCGCCATCGTGTCTCTTTCACGTTCGGATCGCCCCATTCCCTCCAGGATGGCGACGAACGTCTTATGCAGTGCGATCGGCCCCTCAGCGCCATCGTACTAGATCTCACGGTTCGGCTCGCCCATTCCCTCCAGGATGGCGACGACCGTCTTATGCAGCACGATCGGCTTCTCAGCGCCATCGTGTCTCTTTCACGTTCGGATCGCCCCCATTCCCTCCAGGATGGCGACGAACGTCTTATGCAGTGCGATCGGCCCCTCAGCGCCATCGTACCTGATTTCACGGTTCGGCTCGCCCATTCCTTCCAGGATGGCGACGACCGTCTTATACAGCACGATCGGCTTCTCAGCGCCATCGTGTCTCTTTCACGTTCGGATCGCCCCATTCCCTCCAGGATGGCGACGAACGTCTTATGCAGTACGATCGGCCCCTCGGCGCCATCGTACCTGATTTCACGGTTCGGCTCGCCCATTCCCTCCAGGATGGCGACGACCGTCTTATGCAGCACGATCAGCGCCCCAGCGCCATCGTGTCTGGCTCACGTTAGGGTCGCCCATCCCTTTCAGGATGGCGACGAACGTCTCTTATGCAGCACGATCAGCGCCCCAGCGCCATCGTGTTTGGCTCACGTTAGGGTCGCCCATCCCTTTCAGGATGGCGACGAACGTCTCTTATGCAGCACGATCAGCGCCCCAGCGCCATCGTGTCTGGCTCACGTTAGGGTCGCCCATCCCTTTCAGGATGGCGACGAACGTCTCTTATGCTGCACGATCAGCGCTTCAGCGCCATCGTGTCTGGCTCACGTTAGGGTCGCCCATCCCTTTCAGGATGGCGACGAACGTCTCTTATGCAGCACGATCAGCGCCCCAGCGCCATCGTGTCTGGCTCACGTTAGGGTCGCCCATCCCTTTCAGGATGGCGACGAACGTCTCTTATGCAGCACGATCAGCGCTTCAGCGCCATCGTGTCTGGCTCACGTTAGGGTCGCCCATCCCTTTCAGGATGGCGACGAACGTCTCTTATGCAGCACGTCTGCCTCTCGGCGCTGACATGCCCGGTTTATCGATAAGAGCCACCACTTTCTATCACATCTCACATTCCTTCTCTCATACATTGCACCCATACATTACATGCATTCATGCATTCATACATTCATACATACACACGTGCATCATGTTTTGACAGTACCGCGACGTCAGTTTATAGATGCATGGACCTCTAAGCTTCTCTGTTGGAAAGCTTGAGTCAGAGTCCTTTACTCTCGCCTGATGCATTCAGGGGGAGCGTGCCCGTGGAGGAGCACCCTTCGCCCGACCCCGTCGGGAACGGGGCTGCCTCACCGGCAGATTACGTTCAGGAGTGTGGACACCCACTCATATGTTATGATTATTCGAAGACACAGTTTCCAGCAAGACAGAGGAAGAGCGCATGCAAGAGTATATTTTCTCGAGCAGATTCGCGCACTCACTACTCAAGAAACTGGGGGACTTGTGTTGGGATATATTATCCCGGCTTATTACTGTTCAGGAGCCCAAGACATCACTCAGTACGGAACCCGAGCAGCTAGGTCCATTTCGGTCCATTCTGGCCCACTTTAGCCATTTGGGCCCATTCCGGCCCATGCGGCCCATTAGGGTGGATATTTTCCCATCCCTTTTCCCTATAAATAAGGAGCTTAGCCTCCATTGTAGGGATCCCTTCTTTAGCTTCTTCTTCCTTATTTCTCTCTAGCTAGCTCAATACTCCATAAATGGAGCTCAAATTGTACTATGTAATGGTGAGGAGAGATTAATGAGAATGAGAGGGCTTGGACATTAGCCTAAAAAGTCCCGTGGTTTTCTCCCTTTCGGGTTTCCACGTAAAAACTGAGTGTTCATACATATATTTACTATATCGTGTTGGATTAAACTCAACATAGTGTTTTATTATTTTATAGCTTTCCGGTGTGGGACAAATACTTCAACACGGATTAAATGAGCTTGCTATGTTGTCTATTGAGAAAGAAGTTGCTGAACAAGTTGATTATTCAGACTTGATTAATACTTTTGCAGCAAACACTATGGGGCATGTTGCCTTTAATTAGGTATTTTGATATTTATTTTATTATAATAAACTATTTTTTTTGTTTATTTTTTATGGTGCTTAAGGGCCTTTTTAATTTATACCATTCGACTCAGACCAAAAAAATCTTAGGATCGGCCCTGGTAAGATTTGTTTCATAATACCATCAATGGAAGATTCTTTATCAAACCACCAACATATATATGAGCATTTATTGATAATGATAATGGACTTGTATACTTCGTATGTTTTATTTCGAGTTCTAGTACGTAGTTAAAAGGATGAAAGATAAGCAAGAATGCATGATCTCACACGTCACACCTGGTAGAGATCTATATTTCATGATCTGCTGTAAGGATGTTGTAGCAGCAACTTGATGCAGCAGCAGGAGCTGCTGCTTACTTGAATATCCAATGTGAATGAACCCTCCATTCCCAGATCTTCCCCTCAAATCCCGACCTGCCATCATGCCATGGCAATCTGAATCATCACATAATAAAACTCATGAATACAATAATGTCGTAAATTAAAGTACATAGTTTCTATGAAGCCCGGAAACTCTCCTAAAAGAGTATGTTTTCCAATTCCGATTTCCTCGTGATTTTCATGTTTTCGTACAAAAACTTGAGATACGTACCTTTTAGTTTTTGAAGGAGGCCATAGGAATGGGTGGTTTGCAAATGCTCCATCTGATCTGCGTAATTAGCCTCCAGATTCAGTACTGCGAGAGAGATCGAATGCGTCTACAATTTAACTGAACGCCGTACCATGTTTAAGGACGGTGCTGACTGGACCTGACAGGGTTGTCAATTTAACAGTTAATCGATTGTACCTGTCCCACTTCAATATTTTGTAATACTTGGAGGGCTAAGTAGCAAATAGTCTACGTGTACATATCCTTGCCGGAAATCAAAGATCATTAATTATATGGATTAGAATTATAACTCTAGTTATTAATGCACTACAAAAAAATCACAGGATTGGCACAGATGTGACACGGATTTATCGATGATAATTTCGTGTCAAATAGCTCGTGCAAAACTGTTTTTGGCACGGAATTAGCATATCTTTGCCAAAATTCCTGCCAAAAATGTCAATCCCGTGTTTTTTATAATGATATACACATAATTATAATAAAAATATTCATTATTAATGATCGTGTACTACTAATAAATTAATAACAATACACTGTAATAGCATTATTACGTAGTATTTTTATTAGGTAGATTCTATGGTACCCATAAGGTACCATACATTTGTCCACATGGACCAATGATAATATTGCAGTTGAATTATTTAAATCTAAATTAAAAATGATAAAATTATGTGATCCAATCAAATGAATGGTAGGTACGGTACCCCAATTTTTAAAAGAGTACCGGAGTTGTCACCTTTTTATTATTATTAATAGAAAGAACTATCCTTTTTTTATAATAACATACAAATAATAAAACCAACAAATAACAATAACAACAACAACAATAAATATAATATTGATAATAACTATACTAATAATATAAAAAATATGATTATAATAGTAATACTAATAACGGCTATTGGCCCTAAATGGGACTAAAAGTAGCCCAAAATTCCACATTAGAACCATACTCCTTTTATTCTCAAAATAGGAATACTATATGTCTCTTCTTCCTATTCTACCTCTAACCTATAATTTCTAATAGATTTCTTTTTTAATACAAAAAATCATAGTTTTATTTATAATAAAAACATACAAACCGTAAAAATATTTATAAATTAATAAAAAAAATTTGGAAAAAATAAAGATAAAATGAACGATTATTTAAAAATAAAAATAAAATATAAAAAATGTTTAAAAACCTAAAAAATCTAAAAAAAAAATAAAATACCTAAAAAATATTAACAAATATGTAGGCCACTACCTCTGCATCATCTGCCGCCCAGCACCACCACCTCTGATTGCCGGAAAAAAAGGCCATCTTGCGTAAAAAAAAATCACATTTTTCTGAAAATGCCATAAATATGACATTATATTCTTACTCTTTGAAAATACCCACATTTCTATTCAAAATTGCCATCACAATAACATTTTTTCCCAAACTTGGCAATCTTTTCCAGCAATCGGAGGTGGCGGTGTTGGAAGGTGGCTGAGGTGGTGGTGGTTGAGGTTAGTATTTTTTTTATATTTTTTTTACGGTTTTTTTTATTTTTATTTTTTATGTTTTATAATGATTATTTAAAAAATCCTATTAGGAAGGACAAGAGAAAGGGTAGAATAGGAAGAGTTAGTCTTATTTTGGGAATTTAAACATTAAACTCCTATTGTTGCAATTATTCTTTTATTTAGTCCTATTTAGGGAAATCTCCCTGGTAATAATAGTAATAAGAGAATATTACCCGAAATAGGACTAAAAAGAATTGAAAATTCCAAAATAGGACTGCTGTGTTTTTATTCCCAAAATAAGACTAATTACTGTCATGTTTTGGCAGTACAAGATTTCAAACATGACAGTATTTTCCAAATGTGGTAGTAATTACTCCTATTTTGAAAATAAAAAACATGGCAGTGTTATTTTGGAATTTTCAAACTGTTTTAGTCCTATTTCGGGAACTTTTTCTAGTAATAATGATAAAGATAATAAAAGTAATAAATAACTTTTCTCATTTAAATTGAATGTTTCTGTTTCATGTCTTTGTACTTTATCAATGCAAAAGATGTATGGAATGAGTTGAAAGTGGGATACAGCAAACGCGACGGTCCTTGTATTTTCCACTTTGAGAAAACCCTTAGCGATACTTCTCAAGACCAGGTTCTCAATCTCTAACCACACATTACAGTGTCTTGAAAGAATTTTGGGATGCATATTGCAATTAACCATATGGGATTAACCAGGTGCAATTAACCTAGCCCACCTAGACACAATGGGATGCATATTGCAATTAACCTAGCCCACCTAGACACAATGGGACTAGCTAGTGCGTCTAGGTATTTCCTATGTTTCTTTGCCTTAGTTTTTCCAAATGATATTTACTCATTGCTTTTATACTTTAAAATATTTTGACAATACAAATAGCTCATATAATAATTAAATGTTACTCCCTTCATCCCATAAAATTCTTCCCACATTGTAGTTGTTTAAGAAAAAAGTATAATAAATGTGAGCCACACAAATTCTCCAAAAATTAGAGGGGAGATTTTTTTGGGACGGCCTGAAAAGGAAAATTGGAAGAATTTTATGGGATGGAGGGAGTATATTTTTGTAGTAAAATGATTATTAGATTTGTGTTTTTAGAGTCTAAAAATACACTACAAAGTTTATATTCATTAAAAAATTGTTTTATATTTTCGGAATAATATTAAAACAAATTTTATAGGAATATAATTCTTGCTGATAGGAAAAAAACGAAATCTTTTTAATGTCGGATGAAATATGATGCGTTTTTTAATGTTGGAATATTAAAAAACGATGTGTTAAGACTTAAGACAAAATGGAAAAAAGTGTTGGGACTTAAGCCGCACACCCTAGCACACCTAGGCGCCAGGCTGATTTCCCCAACGATTACAACAAAATTGAGCGTGTGGCCACCGCCTAGCGAGTAGCGACTAAGCGGGCTCCTAGGCCAACTTTTAGCACCACGACTCTTCCTACTCGTACTTTTGGTAGATGTACTTGTAAAATCAACTAAACTTACCAAGAATAACTTCAAAAACAGTCTATAAAAATTCTTGGTAGGTCTGTGAATCAATATATGACTCATTTTTCAGGAACAAATTGCACGTCGTTACTCCTCCCGTACACACTAGAGAAAAAAAAAAGGATGACACCCCATCCCTGAGGGCCCCCCAACACCGACCGGACGGCACGATGGGAGGATGTAGAGAGTGGGGCTCTGTCCCCGGTACTTGCAGAGACCCTATGCATTTTTCAGCATAGTAACCCCTCATCGCAGTTGCCGGGATTCGAACCCGAGACCTAACCCTTGTGGCACTCCCTTGCTACCAGTTGAGCTACGCCCACCGGTTCCCGTACACACTAGAGAGATATATATAATAGAGTACTTTTAATTTATATTTATATTTTATATTTTTGATGAGTAGGGACTCTCGGTGGTATTTATTTCCCATATATACTTTACCGTTAATTGTTCTCACACTTTTTCGATATATACTTTACCGTTAATTGTTTGTATATATGGAAACAAGGCATTGGAGAAACAAGGCATCTCGTTTCTTTGCCTACAATGGACTGTAATCCCCTAAAAGTTAATTACCCAAAACATCACTGAAAAATCAACCAATGGCCCTTCTGCCTTCTTAGTCAAAAGTCAGCCTCTCTTAAGATTTTTGGGGAAAAGGGGCAAATAAGTCCACGTACTAACCAAAAAAGGTCAAAAAAGCCCATATACTTTCCACGTACTAATTTTTTGATGAAATGTTTTGAGCATCTTATTCATTAGTCTAGTTTACTCATACCAAATTTCAGTTAACAATTCAATCGGGAAGGCATTCAAATGAATTCTTGAAGATAACTGCGCTTTTAACTGCGCAGTTATCTTCAAGAAGTTATTTGAATACCTTCCCAGTTGAAGTACTTGTACTAGCCCTCAATGTAGCTATCAAGGGTATCCTTCTGAGAAGTGCTATCAGATTATTGGATGTCCCTCTAAATGGAAAGGACCTAAACGTCAAAGAATTGTTCCTGGTTCCAAACCTTTTCAAACCCTAGCTAATAAAAAAGTCTCATGCTCACGTGGCTGCAAATCTCACTACTGCTTAAGATTCTATTGATACAATCATACAAGATGTACTGAAATGGATTTTTGTAACTCAGAAATGAATAACTAGTGTTTAGAGCTCATATATTATCCACCTTCATCTAATGACAGTACCTCATAGGCTCATACAACTTAGATAAATCTTTCTATACCATTAAATGTTCCACCAATTGAATTTTAGATAGATACTGGTGCATCCGATCATATGATCTATGACATTCATCTATGTACTTCTTCAATTTAACTAATTAATGTTAAAGTTCAATTACCAACATGGAAATTTCATTAAAACCACTCATATTGGTGATTTTCACTTCAACCTAATAAATGTTCTTTGTGTGCCTCATTTGCTTAATGGTCAAATGGACTTGCCATTACAATCCTTCAACTCCTATATATTGCTACAAATCATCATCTTTTTGCTAATTCTGCTGCAATCACCTTTGCTTCTTTGTCTAGTATTTGACATTATAGATTATGACATTGTTCATATCATAAATTGAATTCGAAATTACTGTCTCATTGTGATGATCACACTATTACTCATTATAAAAAAGCAGTTTTGCCTTGTGACACTAGTAGAAAAAGGGCTTATAGTGACACTAATTTAGTGTCACTGAAAGTTTCTGTGACACTAAAAAAGCGTCGGGAAAAGTGTCGGCCAGTGACACTAAATATAGTGTCACTGATCGTAAAACATAAAAGTGTCGGTAAATTGTGACACATGAATGTTTTACAAGATTATGACACTTTGGTATCATAAAGCTTGGTGACACGTTGGTATCATACAAAATACGACACATTGGTGTCATATTTTGTGATAATAATATTATAATTATCATGATTTTATTTGATACTAATTCTATTAAATAATCAAAATAAAAGATCAACATTTGTATTTATTACTCAAAGTATTTTAGTGTCAATATCATGAAAGTACATTACAATATGCTATAAATCTACATTTTAACCACACAACACTTACAATATGCTATAACTCTTCAACTCTTACAAGAGTACTCAAAACTAATTATCAACAAAGTGTGCCAAAAGGGATAGTTGAAGTGTGCAAAGAGGCGCTGATTTGCTCCATCATAGGGTTGAGGAAGATGTTCAGATTTTATTCAATGGTAAATAATGCTTCAAATCCAAGCCTCTGCTCCATGCCACCTTCCTATGATCCTCAAGGTCTTAAAGCTTTTGTTTATAGGAAACACAGGCAAATCAAACACGTTGAAACTAGAATGCAATCAAGAACCTTCCCCTGCAACTCAAAAAAGAAACTATTTATTCCAATAGGTTTTTGAGCCCCCACTGTCATACTTAAGGTACTAAGTAAGACTAACTAGATCAGATTGTAGGCAACAATCACAAACATCATCATGTACATGAACTAAATTAAAGTGACAAGTTCTCAAAATACTCTGTAAGAATTAAATTATTCTACACTAAAGTTAATAAAGAGGTGCAACAATGGGATCAAACTAAGTCAAGGTAATGAACTAATGAAGTGTCAAAGGGCTTAATTAATCAACTGAACTACACCTGAAATAACAGGTTGAACACTTTTAAGCAAAATTGTTGCACCGAGGAGATAGGCCAAATCGGAGACAGCTTTCTGCATTTTCACAATGTCAATGAAAAATACAGCAAAGTGGTTCCTTGCAGCTATGACAACAGCCATGCTAAAGAGCCATATCAAGAGGGATTCAGCCACTGTGACATACACTGAGTACTTAGCTGCCCTTGGATGGCTTGACCCTAGCTCAAGTTGGCGATGTCTGATAGAGAAATGGCAACAACAGAGAGCTCCACATCCCCAAGATGCCAACAAAGATACTGGTGAAAAAATT